TTGGAACCAATGTCACGGGCATGCAAGAAAATGATTGATTTGTCAATGTGTCATGTTTTGTTAAAAGGAACCCAATTATTTCTTCATATAGAAGGAATTTTTTCGATGATCTGGCATCGATAGTCCTCAAGCATTGAATTTTAAATTTAAGGGGCGGTGTTACACGACCTCAATTGCTAAGTTTACATTATTTTATACTAACGTATGATTATACGCTTTAATTTATTTTAAGTATAGTTTACATTTTTATATACACTAAAATTAAAGATGTATTAAAATTATAGGTATATTAACCTAAAAAAAATATAGCATTAATAATTAAAATTGTGACAATAATGTACTCAATTTAAGCCATTTAATACTAAATAATAAATAAATATGTACTCACGAGGTAGGATTATTGTGATATTTTAAATAATTAATGTTATATCTTTTTAATGTGATTGTTTATTATATTTTTACATTATATTTTTTTTCTCAAAAATTTATATTTTTTTGTTTCTTAATAAATTAAAAGGCATATTGATCAATTAAAATAAAAATGTGTAGTATTAATAATTGAAGGTATGACAATAATACTGTAATGATAAAAAAGTTAATTATAAATTACTGCACTTTAGTAAACCAACATTTATTAAATAAAACCATGAATCTTCAACCTAATTAGAGTCCCCGCTTAACAGTTCAACACCTAATGGATTAATGGCTACCTCCCTAAAAGGAAAGGTGTCAAGGCATTAAAAGATATTGGTTTCTAACCCTAAGTTTTACATCTCCCACCCCCCAAAGTTCCCGTAATTCAAAACAGAAGTCAGTAACTGGTTAACTGATTTATTCTTTGAATTTGATTGATTAATTAACTAATTAGAAATCAGTGTCCCTAGAAGTTAACAAATCTCGCAGGTTCGTTATCTGGCCAATTAGTCAGCAACAAATAACCCGAACAAACTTTCTGATATTCTTTTAAATTTTAAAATTTTAAAATAACATCCAAGTTAGTCCTTTAATTCATTTTGTTTATTCAATCCAACCTTCCAATTTTTTTTTTTTTTAAGTAAATCAAGCCTCCATGCTATGACCATTACTTAAAGTATCACACAATCAATTTTCTTAGCCTATATATTGGGAAGTTGAGATAGAACTATTGAGTGGAAAAAAATTATTAGATATATGGCCTTGGCTCCTACCAGTTACCATATGATGGTTGCTTTTCTTATAAATTGTTTTTCATATGAGTACAGGATTTTAACATATGATGATAGTCATGAGAAATTAAATATTTTTTTATTAATTTTATCTTTTAACTAGCTAAATCATAGTTTTTCATTTCTTAATTGACATTTTAGAAGAAAATTGTTGTTCCTTTTTCAATTGACATTCTAAATAAAACCATTGTGGTACTATTTTTTTTTTTCCAATGCTAAACACAAAAAGAGTATTGTGATGATATGATAACAACAATCACTTTGACTCAAAATTTAAGTTTAAAAACCGGATGGAGAAAACACAATATGTTCAGGGGCAATTTCAAAATTTTCCCTTTCTTTTCATTTTTATTTTATCTGCTGGGGTTTGAGTCACA